TTGGATCTCTACTGTAGCTAAGAATGTACCTTCAATGCTGTCCTCTTTTGGAACAGAATAAGCTATGGCTATGCTACAGTTCAGAATTATATTTAACCATGTCCATCCCTACAGACAAACAATTGATTCCTGTGTGATATTGATAATGAATTAAATCTTGTTTCTGATTACAAATAAAAATATATAATGAGTGGCAAGCAAAAGTAACTATTCAAAATATAAATTGGTATGGATTAATTTCAAGTATTGATATCTTCAATTTCTGTGTTGGCTACAAATGTTATGAAATATAGAAAAAAATAATTTTACATTTCACAGTATTATTTGAGTATCTTTTATGATAATGACATTACACAATTTATGGTGAAATATATGGGGGGGCTCTAGAGAAAAAAATGATTGCTAATTTTTTTCAGATTATAAAAGTATACTGGGGTTTTCAGTTTGATTTTTGTTTTTGTTTTGATTTGTTTTCAATTTATTTATTTATTTATTATTTATGTTGGTCTTTTTGAGACAGGGTCTTCCTGTAGCCCCTGCTGTTCTGGAACTCACTATGTAGACCAGGCTGGCCTTGAACTCACAGGGATCCAGCTGCCTCTACCTTCCAAGTGCTGGGATTAAAGGTGTGCACCACCATGCCCAGCTTAATTTTATTTTTTTAATTGATTTTTTGTGTATGTTTCATGCAGAATATTCCAAACAATCTTATTCATCTTTATTCCTGCATCCCAAGTGAAACCCTCCCATAGCTTCGCTATCCCTACCTCCACTGGAGCCCATGTACTCTGACATCCCTGTTACTGTCCACTGCATTGTCAGTGCTCCCAGCTTTTTCCCAGTTCAAATCCATCCACTGAGTCTAGTCAGCCTATCTAGAGTCCCTTGTTTCAGGAAGATCAGCTCCATTCCTTTATATAAGATTGGGGTCTGCTGTTAATTTTCCCAATTCTGTGCTTGTTGACTGTATGGGAGTCTTTTGGACCACATTGGCAAACAAATAAAAGGAAGGCATCTCCTGTCTGGCATTGTTTCTTGTTATGTAGCCTTTAGCTATACATGCGGACTGTTAAAGAAATATACTGATCACTTTAGTCTTTGGTTATACTTTCCTTTTGTGTGTTTAAGACCATAAAGTTGGCCCAAATAAACTAATTTATTTTTACTCTTAAGGTTGTTTAAGGATCTGTTCCTCAGGGGTCACATGGGCTTGGGAGAAGTTCCTGGCTCCTTTCTTTTACCAGTTCTATGTACGTGAAGATAAGTCAAAGGTCCTGCTCAACTGCGGCTGGATTCACTTGGAAACATGGAGGAAATGTTTCCTCTGAGTTGACTCTCCTTTTTGTAGACTGAACACTAGTTCAATTCCATCTGGTGGGGTCTCCATGGCCTCCTTGAACAAGAGGACAGGTGACTTATCACAGTTACAGAATATTTTGAGAGATATTCCATAATCCCCTGGAACTTAGTGTTGGGGTTCTCTGTTATGCAAGTAGAAGTCTCTTCATGTCCGGATAGCTCACGAGCTCAGAAACCATGTGCTGCAGATTCCTTCATAGCAGAGTACCTTCCTGGCATCCTCCCTGACTCTTCTTTTAAAGTGCTCGCCACAAATACATGCCCTCCGGCACAGGAGCTACCAGGTTTTAATCAGGTGTTGTCTGATAGCCTGATAGAAACCCACCGCCCTATGTAAATGAAGCATTCCAGGAGTACCTATCAGCTAAGGCTTCTTCTACTGTCTCCACACTATAAATAGTCCTAGTTCAGGCGTTGTCTGATAGCCTGATAGAAGCCCACTGCCCTATGTAAATGAGGCATCCTAAAAGTACCTATCAGCTAAGACTTCTTCTGCTGTCTCTACACTATAAATAGTCCTAGTTTTACCCCAATAAAGTTGGAGCTGGATCACCTCACTCAGACTCAGAGCTGGATCACTTCACTCAGACTCGGAGCTGGATCACCTCACTCAGACTCGGAGCTGGATCACTTAGACTTGGAGCTGGAGCTGAATCACTGAGATCTGAGCTGAGTCACTTGTCTTGAGCTGTAACACTAAATCCTGTGATCCAGTCTCCCTGGGGGGCGCTATTCCTCTGTTAGCCCACGGATACCCCAGCTTTCGTCGCCTCCATGCCTCTTCCCTATGGAGTTCACTGGCCAGGAACTCCGCAATCCTGAGGAAGGGAACAAGGGTGTAATAGAGGCGGGATTCCAACTAGACAATAATCTAGTAGCAGAGGAAGCTCTCTGCTCCAGAGAAGTGTGTAGCTATCAGTTACAGCCAGCATCAGAGAAGTCTGTGTACCTGCCTTCTCCAGAGAGGCGCGGCCGGCCAGGCCCGCCAGAGGCTAGCCAGTGGGACCAGAACCACGGCGGAAGAGTCCACGCACACCTGACCCTGGGCCACATCCAGAGTGAGTGCGCCCGGGAGCCCAGGCGCGCTCCCCACATTGCTTGCGGCCAGACTCACGCCGGGACTAGCCAGGTGTGGCGGAGACCCCAGGGTGCCCGCACACACCACGCCGGGGGTCCAGCGACCCGCCCCATAACTTAGTCTACTATGGAGGGCAAGGAGCAAAAACTGTCCTCCAAGTCTCTTTGACCAGATTAGTACAGGCCTCAAAATATGGCTGCTAAACATCCAAGAAGGTTAGTTACACCAGTCTGGTAATTTTAACAACCATGTGTAGGGAGCCATGGGCCCCCTACCCAGAAATAGTAACTATTATCTGTAAAGCAAGCTGTTTACAGCTTCAGCCTCTGACTTTCTTTTAAGAGTAGCTGGATGACTTTGTGAAAAACATGTTTTTCTGCCTCAACTTTGTAAATTTCCTCATCCTGTAAAAACATCCTGCCTCATGGTCTGGCTGTGGAATGTGTGGTAAACAGCCGAACTTACCTGCCCAGCTTCTTCCACCCTCTGCTTCCCTATAAACGCTTTGTGCAGAGTTCAGTAAACAAGACTTGATCAGAGCACTGTCTTGTCTCCATTCTCTGTGTCTCTTGCCCCATTCAATCCCCACTCCTCACTCCAGGTACCCGGTTGAAAGTCCCGTGGGCCAGGACATCTGGCCCCCAACTTGGGGCTTGGATACTGAGGCAGCAGTGAGGGAGACGACGTGAAAAGGAAAGCGTTGGACAAATTTTGAGACACATCGGAGTCACCGTGGGAACCTGTCAGCATGAGCTTTATGTTAAGCAGTTAAAGGACACTTTAAAGACACAGGGAGTAAAGGTTAAGACTACAGATTTGTTTCATTTTTTTGATTTTGTTAAAAAAATTTGTCCCTGGTTTCCCCAGGAGGGCTTGATAGACATTAAAAGATGGAAGAGTGTAGGAAGTGCATTAGAGGATTACTATAAAGTTTTTGGTCCAGATAAGATTCCGGTCACAGCCTTTTCATATTGGAATTTAATAAAAGAATTAATAGAAAGGAAGCACCCACCGAGGTGGCTATAAAACAGGCAGAGGATCTGTTACAAAATAGTGCCTGCCCAAAAGCTGGTAAAGTCCCTGCAGAAGAAGTTGACCTTATTTCCCTTGATAGCAATGAGGAGGATTCAGCTAGACAATCTAAGACCCACTCGGAAAGTTCAGATCTTGATTATAACAAGTCAGACCCAAATCCTAAGAATGGTTCTGACGATGCCGCTCCAGCCTGATGCCGTGCCTAGGGCCCCCTCTGAGGCTCGTCCCCTGCCCCCTCCTTATGCTATTCCATCAACTCTGCCAGCCCTTGAGGCTTTCCCAGTTTTTCCTCCCATTGAGCACTTAAAAGCAGAAATTGACCGTTTGCAGCAACGCATCGAGTTAGAGCGCCGTCGCCGCGCATTGGTTGCTGAACTCCAGAGCCTGACAGTCCAAGATGTGTTCTCAGGCCCCTTAACCACCACAACCGAGACCCCGATAGTCAGCCATTCGCGCAGTTTGTCCACTACCGCTCCCTCTGCTCTTAAAGCCTTTCTGGTTTTAGAAATTATAAAGGGTGGTGGAGATGATGACGAGCCCATCAGACAACCCCTTCAAGCCCTCAGACATGAAAGAGTTAAAAACTGTGGTGTCACAGTATGGTGCCACGGCCCCTTATACCATTACCCTCCTTGAGGGACTGGCAGAGCAATGGTTAACTCCCTCAGATTGGCATACTCTTGCCAAGGCTCTCCTTCATGGGGGGGATTTCCTTTTATGGAGATCAGAATATTTTGATGCCTGTAAAGAAACTGCTAAGAAAAACATTAAGATGATTAATGATGACTGGACTTTGATATGTTAATGGGCCAGGGAGAGTATGATTCCAATGACACCCAAATGAATTATCCACCCAGACTTTTTGCTCAGATATAGACAGCAGCCATTAAGGCCTGGAAAAAACTCTCTGCAAAGGGTGACTCGGGGGTCTCTCTTACTTCCATTAAACAAGGTCCTGATGAGCCTTTTGCTGATTTTGTTCATTCCTTAACCACTGCCACTACTAGGCTTTTTGGTAGTATCGAGGGCGGTATTGAGCTCATCCTAAAGCAACTAGTGTTTGAAAATGCTAATTCCGCCTGTCAGGCCGCCATTCGCCCTCATAATAAGAAAACTAACTTAGATGGATATGTGCGACTTTGCGCTGAGATTGGCTCCTCCTATCAACAGGGTCTTGCCATGGCAGCTGCACTTAGTGGTAAAACAGTGAGAGACTTCTTAAATGACAAAAAACGGCCTATTACAAGGGGATGCTTTAAATGCGGAAAGCCTGGCCATTTCTCTCGGGATTGCAAGTCACCCCCTGGTCAGACAAAAAACAATAATAGCTCTGATAGACCTCCAGGGCTTTGCCCTAGATGCAGGTGAGGAAGGCATTGGGCAAATGAGTACAAGTCCAAAACTGATTTTCAGGGCAATACCTTGCCTCCCCATCAGGGAAACGGGCTCCACCCCCGAAACAAACAATTGGGGCAATCAATTTCATCCCAGAAAGCAACAACAATCTGTTTCAGACCTCTGCTGAGCAATGCCTGGAAGTGTAGGACTGGACCTCAGTTCCGCCTCCCACACAGTACTAACCCCGGAAATGGGAATTCAAATAATAAAGACAGGTGTGCACAGTCCCTTGCCTCCAGGCACTTGTGGTCTGATTCTAGGAAGAGGTAGCTCAGGCCTTAGAGGCCTGACAGTTATACCAGGGGTACTTGATTCAGATTATATGGGAGAAATTAAAATTCTAATAAAAACTAAGAACGTTATTGTGCCCATCGCCCTGGGAGATAGGCTTGCCCAACTTGTGTTGATTCTCCTAGCCGCAGGACAAATTTCCCCCATGCCTGCACCTCCCATAGTTTTGGCTCTTCAGCCGCCTATTGGGTCCAGACCATCACCCACGAAAAGCCAACCCTAATATTGTGGCTAGATGGAAAGAAATTTGAAGGACTCATTGACACTGGTGCAGATGTTACTATTATTGCTTCCAATGCTTGGCCCTCCAGCTGGCCTACTACTGATACTGTAACTAATCTAACGGGAATAGGACAAAGCTTAAATCCCAAACAAAGCTCGAAAATTCTCACCTGGAAGGACACTGCAGGCAATTCATGCCAAATTAAGCCTTTCATTGTGCCTCAGATACCGGTTAATCTATAGGGATGAGACCTCCTAACCCAAATGGGAGTAATGATGTGTAGTCCTAATGACACCGTCACTGCCCAAATGCTAGCTCAAAATTATTGCCCAGGAAAAGGCTTAGGTAAATCAGGAGAGGGGATAACCACACCTATCCAACCCAGTGGACAATTTGATAAACGCGGCCTGGGAAATTTTTGACTGCGACCACTGACAAACCTGCACCCTCAAACTCTGCGGATCCCATAACTTGGAAATCTAACAATCCTGTTTGGGTAGATCAATGGCCGCTTTCCCTAGAAAAGTTAACTGCTGCAACGCAGTTGGTGCAGGAACAACTTAAACTAGGACACATAGAGGAATCTCATTCACCTTGGAATACGCCCATCTTTGTCATAAAAAAGAAATCTGGTAGATGGAGGTTACTGCAAGACTTAAGAGCAGTTAATGCCACTATGGTACTCATGGGAGCCCTACAACCTGGCTTGCCCTCCCCAGTGGCTATTCCTCAAGGCTATCTCAAAATTGTTATAGATCTTAAGGATTGCTTCTTTACCATTCCCTTATGCCCACAGGACCATAAACGTTTCGCATTTAGCCTTCCTTCCATCAATTTTAAAGAACCTATGAAAAGGTATCAATGGAAGGTTTTACCCCGAGGGATGGCCAATAGCCCCACCTTGTGCCAAAAGTTTGTTGCTAGAGCCTTACAAAAAATCAGATCTTCATGGCCCTCCATGTATATCATCCATTACATGGATGATATCCTTATTGCTGGCCAGGATGGAGGGGCGATACTAAAGTGCTATACACAGCTTCAGCACAACCTCGCTGCTGCGGGACCAGTTTTTCAGGTACCATTGACAATCATTACTTGCCTGACAGGCTCCTCCAGTTTTGTAAATTACATGCCTTTGGTTTCCCTCGCCTTACTAGCCTAAAGCCTCTACCTGATGCCTTATTAGTTTTTATGGACGGCTCCTCCTCTGGGATGGCTGCCTATACCCTTGAGAAGCAGACAACTGCTTCCAAACTAATCTTGCCTCTGCACAATTAGTGGAACTTTCAGCCTTAATAGCTGTTTTCACTATTTTTCCCACAAAACCCCTCAACATATATACCGACTGTGCCTACCTCGCCCACTCTATTCCCCTGCTTGAAACTGTTCCCTTTATCAAACACGCCTCCGAAGCCGCCAATCTTTTTCAACAGTGCCAACAACTTATTTGTGAGAGAACAATTCCTTTCTTCCTTGGTCATATTCGAGCTCATTCTGGCCTACCCGGCCCTCTTTCCACTGGCAATGAACTAGCTGATGCAGCCACCAAGATAGTTGC